GTCCGTCGCCAGTTGACCGGACTGAAACCGCAGGAGTGGGTTAAGGTGTAATGGGGTGATGATGGCGAGTGCGACATTTGGACATGAAAATTGTTATGAAAAAATACCAACAGCCTGCAAGAGACAGAAGAAAGCGAGTGGAGGACAAGGAGCACGGTCCTCCACTCGCTTGCTGGGTATGAGAAACTCACTGCAATGAGAGAAAAAAAGAACAAAATGCAAATACTCCATCATCCATGGGACAGTGCCAAGAAACTGGACTGTAAGTGGTGACACCCAGCAGTGATAGAAGTCACCGTTAATGAAAGATACAGTGACATAACGAATATTGGAATATGTTTAAATTAACAAGCTATGACCTACATTTTCCCATTTTAATGTTTTCTTGAAATTTAATTTATTTATCTGTTTATTTCATTTTTTAAATTGTGATTATGAGCATTTTGCAGCCTATGGTAGTTTGGAAAACTGTAAATAATGACCTTCGGTTTAAAGATTTGTGCTTGCTCAACTACAGCCATCTAGTGGCTACTTGAGATAGTGTAAATATTTGAACCCAGACTGCCATATTTCATTTTGAAAGCCCTCATCCTTTTAAAACTGTGCTTTCATTTAGACTCTTGAGATTCACTGTGCACAGTGATCACCACAGTCAGTCTACAGACTTTGTGAAATGGCTTTAAAGTGAAGCATAACACATTTTCTGTCCAGTTTTTAGTCTATATTTTTTAATGAGTGGAACAACCTTAAATAAGATTAGACAAGATATATCTTATTTAAGATATTATCTAAGATTGTATATTTTACAGTTCTTTACAAAGAATAAATATTTAACAACTGTTAAAAGGAAGGTGGTTGTAGTGAATTGGGGTTTGCAGAAGCTCTTTTCACCATTACAAAACAATGCAATACAACTGTGAGGCAACAGTTGTTGTGAACCGTCATCATATAAACTGAACTGAACTGCTGCCCATCGTCTTCAACGCAACAGTAGTTTTTATCACCACTTAGCTACCTTTCAGCCCAGCAAGCTTTAAACACAACACTGCTGTTGATTCTGTTCTTCTGGACGTAGCGTTTTCAGAGGGAGAAACGTTTCATCACTCATCTAAGGGGCTTCTTCAGTCTCAGCTGACTGCAGGCTTCCCCAACCTTACAAGCAGTACATTTGCACAATGACTGAAACCAGCCCACTGAAGGAACAATGGGCTGTGAGGTCAGTTTTATAATCATTAATATGCAAATTCTCATGACCACTGATCAACAGCCACTGATCAAAGCTAATTGATTACTGACATGCAATGAGCAATGTCAGTATTTATAATCTCTTCTTTGCTTGTTAGCTTGCTTTTAACTTCGCTAAACAGCTACCCGATGATTCAAAAGAGTTTTTAAAAATCAAAACTGAGTTATTAAGTGTATGGTCATTCTGTGCTCTTTCTTCTGTCTGTACCTCCACCAGGGGTCTGATACCTGACACAGAGCCCAATCCTAACAGCTCTTATAGTTGTCAGTATGAGGCTGCTGTCACCAGTTTCCTCTGTGGTTTGTTTTTATGCAGTGTTGAAGCATCTAACTGGTTGCAGGAGGGACAAAATGGGCTCTGATTGTTACTGGCCTGCCGTCCACTGAGGGCTTCATCACAGCGACTCTGTTTTTGCATTCTAAGGCACTGTTTGGTCTGCTTTGTTAGAAATAAGCACAACCATTTCCGCCCCTGAATGTGACTCATGATTTTTATTTTGTCCAGGTAAAGGCAGAGAGTATGACTGTGCATGACCAAATGAAGTCTGTTTTCACAATCTGGAGGCAGTTCTTTCTCAGAATCATATAAACATTTCAAACTGTTTTTATTGATGTGACTGTCTGAGTTTGATGCTGTGTGGTGCATTCGAGTGCAGTGTTAACAGAATATATATTTATATATTAAGATATGTGTATCATGGTAATTAACATTTACACAATTGACATTTTTATCTATGTTATTTACAAAATCAGACTGAGTAAAGAATGGCCAGCAGCACAATTCTGTACTTTTCTTTTTTGCCAAGTGAGCGTCTTATTGATGCTTTATTAGGAGCAGGACCACCAGGTTTGTACACAATGTTAAACAGGTATCACAAGCAAGTTTTCAGTTGTTAAGGGGTGAGATATACACATCAGACAGCAAATGAATGGTCAGTTCTTAAAGGTGATGTGTTAAAAACAGAAACAATGAGCCGATCTGTGAGGGGTGAGGGCTACATGAGCGATTCAGAGCACAGCAGCAGGTTATACAGAATGCTCGCAGAATACAGAGGCGATGAGCTGCAAACCGCTAAAACAAATTGTGGTGATCCCATCTGCCCAACCATCTTCTTATTTGTAATTTCTTTAAGTAGTCTTCAGGAATAGTTCCCCTGGAGAACTTAAAGATCGTCTTTGGATGGTGGCTGACTTTTATTCTACTCTCTGTCAAGATGATCCCACACTGCCTCAGTAAGGTTGAGGCTCCAGGGAAGGCCAATCCATGACTGATGATGACCTTAAGAATGTCTTCTGGAAAGCCAAACTTTCACTGAGACCATTTCTGATGAGGCTTCCCTGAACAGTAGGTGGTTCAACCGAAGGGCCAGATACATGTTTTGGGTCTTTGCTGGATTTTTTCCACAGCTTTTGCTGTTCCAAAAACATCTTGCTTTTAAAGATCAGCTCTATAAATTCTCTCTGTTCTTGTTTTGTTTATGTATAAACAAATATTTGTTTATTCTAGTCATGCTATTTAAAGCTTTTACATTACATGTGGTGTGTGTGTGTGGGGGGGGGGGGGGGGGGGGGGGGGGGGGGGGGGGGGGGGGGGGGGGGGGTATAATTAAAGGACAGAGTACAAATAAAAATTTGTAATGTATGGATGTATACAACACCTAGAACACACAAATTCAAAAATACACAGATACAGAAATCATATCTTATTGTGGTGTGTATGTGTGTGAGAGAGAAACAGAAAGAGTGTGAGTGTGTGTCTTTGTAATGAAATTCACTTAAAAATGTCAGGAGACAGACACTAAGATTAGGCTTAAAACTTTCCTTTTTGCTAAAGCACAGTTAGGGCTGGATCAGGTGACCCTGAATCCTCCCTTAGTTTTGCTGCAATAGCTGTAGACTGCTGGGAATTCCCATGATGCATTGAGTATTTGTTCTTCAGTTACCTTTCTCACTCACTATGTGTTAATAGACCTCTGCACTGAATCATATTTGTTATTAATCTCTGTCTCTCTTCCACAGCATGTGTTTATCCTGTCTTCCTTCTCTTCCCTGCCCCTCCCTGAGCCTGGTTCTGCTGGAGGTTTTCTTCCTGTTAAAAGGGAGTTTTTCCTTCCCACTGTCACCAAAGTGCTTGCTCATAGAGGGTCATATGATTATTGGGTTTTTCCTCTGTATGTGTTATTGTAGGGTCTACCTTACAATATAAAGCGACTTGAGGTGACTATTGTTGTGTTTGGCGCTGTATAAATAAAACTGAAGTGAATCGAACCTGCAGAGGTATAAAAGGACCCCAGTAGATTCAGACCACCAACCTTATAGCTATAATGTGACAGTGCTAACCGGTGCTGTTCACCTCATCTGTGGAAATGCTCTAGACAACAGTTACTTTCATTCAACACAATATCAGGCCCGAGCAGTATTTCTTGTTGCTGATCAGTATGTGCTTTGGGAGTGAGAACATGTTGGTGATTCAGAATGAATGTTTGAGCTTTTTAAAAAAAATTGGTTTTTCAATACAACAGAGAAGTCACATAAATCACTGTATTTGATTTTCATTTTATTTTTTTCCAAGTGATACATCTACATAAAAGATTTCATGGCCTCGCATGACAAATACGGTACAGCTTTTTTAATCCCCCCCCTTTTTTTTTTTTTAACAGCTATTATAAGATCTGATATGATGAACAACATTTTTTTTTAACATTCTGCAAGATATGTATAGGACCTAACAGGAGGTCAGTATACTGTATGCCTCACCCAATAAAGCCTTACCTTTAAAATAAATGTCAACATCACAGTTCTGAATGTAAACCAATAAAACAAAACAAAAAACAAACACTTTCGGAAGCCTTCCCAGAAACTACAGAACATAATGGCAAACAACAATATTTTGGAAAATTTAAGGATATAAAGAAACGTCATCTTTAATCACGTGAGACTCAAAAGCCTCCTGGCTGGACTCTGTTCACCATCCACACAAGCACACTCACACAGATCAGAGTTTGACATGTGTGGCCAAGGTGGCATGGCACATGAACGCAAATGGCTCGTGCTTTTTTTTTCCTTTCCAAAAAATAAAAGCAAAAAGCGGTGTGTGGGGGGGTTAAACTCGCGACAGAATAGCAAATCTTAAAGCTTATGTCTCCGTTCCATGAGTGACAGAAAGACAACTGAATTACAGTCAGGTGTGTCGAAGCACCAGTAGAGTCAGATCAGTGTGTCCTAGAGAAAGCAGGTCTTAAAGGGTTGGGAGTGCCGGCGAGAAGTGGAGATGTTCAGACCAGAGCGGAGCTGGATTGCTGAACACTTCAGAGAGGGAGGGGGGGGGAGAGAGAGAGAGAGAGAGAGAGAGAGAGAGAGAGAGAGAGAGAGAGAGAGAGAGAGAGAGAGAGAGAGAGAGAGAGAGAGAGAGAGAGAAAGCAACAGCAGCAATCTCAGCAGGTGTTAATGGTTCACCACCTTTGTGTGACCATAGGTTGTAAAAATAAGATACTGGGTATGTGAGTCAGCCAAGCTTGAGATGATTACAGTACTGTTAGGCCTTGACAGACAGCTGTCCCTGCCGGGGGGAATGACTCAGTCCATCGTATTTAAGTACGGCAACGTTGTTGCTGTTGCTTCACTGCAAGTCAAATGTTTCCCTTATTCGATATGCACGGTTATCACAATTTAAAAGAATACTGCCTAATCAACAGTAGATGGAGACACTAATACAGACTGAGAAACAAAGGTAAACCCCCAAAAGCATGCCCCCCCCTTTTTTTTTTAGTGTTTTACAATAAAAGATCACATCAAACTGCCATATTTCAGTTAAATACACTGAAGTTTCCTATGCAATAATGAACATCAGTCTGCTTTGAGGAGAGTACGACATGCAGGTCCTCTTCTGGCCAATAACCGGAGAGAAATCTGGTCCTTTTAGTGTAATCTTGATGTGCGGCACTCAAACCCAGAGAGGAGTAATAATGGGTCTGGTTGCTGTGTAGAATAAGACATGCTTTGTACTTTTCTTTTTTTGAGGGGGGTCGGGGGTTAAGGGCAGCAAGAACTTCCTAGCTGCCATCAAGTGAACACGTCGTAACCAGCACAAGACAACCAGAAATACAAACTATCATTGCACATAAAGAGTTAATCCTTCACTTTAACCGTGTCATTTACAAACCATAATACAGGAAAACGTTTCCTCTGGAAGTGAACAAAATACTTTACAAAAAACAACCACCTTTAGGGCTTCAAATTGTATAAATAAGACAAAGTCTTAAAGACATAAGTCTTCACATAGAAATTTTTACTTTTTTTAAAAATTGTTATTAGATAAGATAGAATTTAATATTTTTTCCCATCATATTTTTTTAAATACATATGCAATTTATCTTTTGACTGATGTACATATAGGCATACTGTATGTAGAACCTCAAGTGTCCAAAATGTCTCGGGAAGAATCTCGCAAGACCCAGACGAGGCTACAGTATTTGTACTTTCCCTTATCAAACACATGAAGAACAACAGTTCAAAAAACAAACTTAACATGACTAAAAACTCATCTTCATCTACTGGTACCAACTTCAATTTATAAAATCCTGTTTTTTGTTTTGTTTTGGTTTTTTTAATCGTTTCGACATGTATAGCCTCAGTGGACAGAATACATTTCGACTGTAAAATGTCTTCATTCAGTAATTTCTTGCTATAACACAATATATCTAATAGGTTTTATCTTTAATAAATAAAAGAGTCAAATGTTTGTCTTTTCTTGAGCAGCTGTGTAGTGCTTTCCCAGCACTGCGGCTCCTTTTGTTTTTATCCACTGATGTGTCTGCTTCCATTCACTGCCCGGCTGTGGGCGAGCAGATGATGGACATGCAGCTTCAGCAGAGGAGACAGATGAAGACAGCGAGAGAGAGACAGCGAGAGAGAGCAGTTGGGGGCTATGACTCAGGTGGTGTGGGTTGTGTAAAGATGGCAGGGTAGTGTTTCAGTTGCCTATCCATCAGTGCCGTTCTTGTTGGGGGTGTTGGTGTTGATTGTGGTTCCATCTGGCTGCTGGCCATCTTTGCGCGGAGGCATCCTCTCGTTTATCCTGTCTAGGCCACGCGCCTCCTCAAAGTTGCGAATTTTCCTCGAGGGAGAGAAGCCTTGAATTGCTAAAAATCAGAAAAGAGACCAAAGAGAAAATTAAAAGAAGGTAGAAACAGCTTAGTAATAGCAGTGCGTCACAGCAAGTATTCACTGTAAACCGCCATTTTTAGCTTTCTCTTTTTTTATTTTCTTTGCCACCCTCAATCAAAATGCATTCCTTGTGGGATTTCATTTGGTGAGCAATAAACACAGTATTTGCTAATCACAGAACGGATGATCTGTAAATACAACACATGCACAACTAAATAATGACTCCTAACGTTCAAGCACCAGTGGGACAAACTACACCAATTAAACACCTCACACGTTATAGACTTACGTTAATGTCCCGAAACGGCCAAGGAAACCAGAAAGAAAACAAGTGCAAATAGAAAAGCAAACTTGTAAGAGACAGTTCATATATTTCACTCATTTTATCAAAGTAAACAGACAGTGAAAACTCAGTGGTTAACGCTTTATATGGGAATTATATATTAAAAAAACAAACCAAACAAAAAACACCCTCAAGGCCACTCTTGCACAACCAGATGTCTGTGATTTAAAAAAAAAAAAAAAAAAGTTCCTTGAATATAATAATTGAATTTATCAACTTTGAGTTTTGCCATTTCCAACCAGCGGTACTTGGACCTGCATCGGTCACACGGTTGTATAAAAAGATTCCAATTTGAAAACATTTTTGATTTGATATAATGAATATGGTACAAAGACATATTAGTCCTTGTGACAATGTCCAAATTAATCTTATCCCAGTGATAAAAGTTAACACTCAACATGATGTGATAAAATACATTTGTGCACCGATGTAGTTAGCTAACTGTTGATAAAACAGCTCAGAAGAACATACATCACCTAATTAGCTAAAAGTAATTGATGCATAATTTAAAAAATTAGCAAAAAATACAGGTTACATAGGGCGATAATTATCTGAAATGAATGGTTATGTGTTAGTAAAGTTGGTAATAGTTACATAAGTGAAATGATTAGGCGAACGCAAACACCATGTAGTTAAATTAATTGTCTAAAATTAAAACAGTCAATATGTAAAATATTTAACATATTAATTAATTAAATATAGATTAATTTATATTTTAATTTAGTCAAAAAGCAGCTTAAAATACAGGAAATGTGGTTGAAATTAATAGATAAGTAATCTTAGACTGATAAAAATTGTAAAATGATATTGTTTCTATTATGGCTGTGAATAAATATCAAATAATAAGCTAAAAGCAAAGGACAAGTAGCTGACATATTTACAGAAGTAAATAACAGTTACACAAAATAATTAATTATAATATTTCCCTAAAAGTACAGGATGCATTCCTGAAATATTTATCTAAAAGGTGTGAATGAACAGATACTAAAATTTGTAGACTGATGGTAAATGTAACTCTGAGTGGTAACAGTCTAACGTACGCTTTCATGGCCTAAAAGGTTTACTTAAAAAAAAAAAATCAATTGAAATGAATACATTTGAAACATAACTGAGCTATCTGAGCTCATCTGTTTGATAAACAAGACATAAAAGGTTGATGACTATTTGTAAGTAACGCTCCTGCTTTACCTCATCTACAAAGTTAACTGTTAATGTCTTCTGCAATAGAATATTTTATGGATTTGATGAGATAACTGAGACCTGTTGATCCGCCAACCATCACTGTCGACCAGAAGAGACGAGCGGTGTAGCAACAGCCAAACGGAGCAACAGGATTAGATTCTGAAAATATCCCAGACAGGGATGTCCCCGGTCTTATCTTAACCAGGTCTTAGCAGGCTTTTCTCTGTGTGGGGAGTCACACTTGGCAAGAAAAGCTTATGTGACCACAGTCAGGGACTTCTTATCAACAAAGGACAAATCATGTCCTAAACCTGATCAACAAAACAAAATACATAACCTCTTTATAACAGTCTTTATTTTTCAGACATACAGAGACGAGCCTGATTTAGCTAATGCTGACCTGAATCCTCCAAAGCTTTAAACTATACAGTGGTAGTTGACACTTTTTGAATCTCATTTTAGCAACATAGTCTAAGTCTTAATTAGTGCCGGTGCAAATTTGCTTTTTGCCTGTATTAAAATGTTTTAGAAAAAAGATTTCTGTATTTACAAAGAGAACACAGCAATTACAAAAAGGCGATTACTTATGTTCACTTCTTTCTCATTCAAGCATTTTGTTTCAATTCATGTTCTGTTGCTGTTTCCACCTCATTCTGTCTGTCAAAGAAAACACTAGTGCTGATTTTCACAATGACAGAACCAGTGTTATCAACAGATTCTGATGATGCAAGAGCAACCAGCAATAACGGGATTCACTATAACAGAATAATCAATAGAAATAAACAGAAAGGGGGAAAAATACATATTTGAGGAGTGGGTCTGTGTTAAAGGGTGAACAACACACACAAAACACAGACAGGGGGATTTGAGCCAAACAGCCAATGCATACCTTTTGCTTTAGCTGCCTCAACGGTAGCTATGTTAATGGGAGTTGAGGAAGGAGGGGGGAAAAGGAAGTCATCAAAGTAGCCAGAGACAGCAAATACAACAGTGTTTAAAAAAATAAACTAAAAAATAAATCTGAACACCCCTGTGGGATAATCTGAAGAAACAGATGGCAGAATATAGGCCAACACCCACGGCTCATTCAAAGGGAGGCAAAAATTCATAGCAACTGTGAAGCGTCACCAAAACACTTAGGCGATTGGGTGGAAAGGTTAGAGTGAAGAAGTCTGCTGGAGTTTTAAGCCAGTGTTGGTGTTAAAGGGTCACGAGGACTTAGGTGTGGAGAGCCAGGGGGGATTTGGTTAAACACTAAGAGTCTAAGATGGGGGCGAGATGCACAACCATGACCAGGCAGTCCAGCTCAACACACATGCAGTCAGATGTTCCCTTTAGAAACACACTCATTTACACATGTACAATCAGCTTCATGCCAAAGTGAACTAAAATAATTTTTACAGCTTTTGGAAACACGACGAATATTTCTCCTTTAAATTTGATGCAAACTGGATTTAATTAGTGCAGCAATGATGTTATGTGTTCATAAAATGCACAGGTATATTATCATCAAGATTGAAACAAACAAGAATCGGAGAATCAAGGAGGACTGGATAAAAATACACACAGCCCCCTGCTCCCCTTGTTTGAACTAGCCTAGCTGATCTGAAAGCTGTGATTGGGGGAACAGACATGGACAATGACATTCTCAGAAAGGTCACAACATGTGGTTTTCCCTTTTGATTGCTCTGCAACTTCTGTGAGCCTCCAGCATGGCAGAGCATGGCCCCCAGCACGTCCTGTGGCAGGTGAGGCCTGGTGCTGACCTTTAGATCAAAGGGTCAGCAGCCACTTCCAGGTGACAGGCTGACCTCCTCGACCAGCCGGCCCACGGCTCAGCCCCAAAGCTTTCTGCCGCATGGAGGCAGGGGGCAGTCAAAGTCCTGACACTGCTTCCTGTGGCAGGAATACCACCATTGATCTCGAACCCTTCAAAGAGACTATAACCGAATGGTGAAGCTGCTGTATCAGATATTCACAGACAAAGCTGAAAACAATCCTCGGATGCTTCTTTTTAACATACTGAAGTTGTTCTAGAAAAAGTCTCCCACATGGCAGCAGGTTCATCCCATCTCAAATCATCGTTGGCCGATTAAATTTTACTGAATTATAAAACTCATCCAGGACAGAAGGTCTCAAAAATCAAAAATCTGTAATTTAACACATTTATTTTCTCAGTTATAATTAGAAGACCATCTAGAAGCTATCTACTGATATTTGTAATGATACAACTTGTCGTACTTGCTCACTCCTGCATGAAAGTTTCTGTGACTGAAAACTTCACATTAAACATTATTGTACATTAAACATGGTCATTTTTGCATTATTGTGAAATACAATTCTATGGTATTCAGAAATTGTCAAACATTTTCATTTGCAATGTGTAAGTTTTTGGGGGGTTAGTGTCTGCTCAAATATGGGACTTTCAAAGACTTCAATTTTCTTTTAAGTCCTATTTTAACTCAGACATGTTGTGATTTATCGTCCCTAAATTAAAGACTCTCACTCATTTTTATGGCAGGGAAAGCTCAGAAAACTGTTCGCACTTTTATCTTTAATAGTTTTTGAAATATTAATGTTCAAAAATGGCCTCAGATTTTAAAGTGTTAAAAAAAACGCGAGTGACAGGTCGATGGACCATTTTCAAAATATATCCAAATATATCCAAATATATCCAAACGTTGGAGTGTGACATTTTTATGGATATTGGAGAAAATGTTCTTAAAATTTTTTGATTTGAGATGGAATGGCCTGGCAGTTTTAAAATGTCACTGGGTACTTCTTTGGGCATTTATATTAGGACATGTTGTGACATATGTTTGCATGTATAGGGCTGTATCATAATGTATCTGAACACTTGTCTCTTCAGCGTCACTGAGATGCACAGATATGTCCGTATTTTCCACACTCTTTTGCAACCCAAACAGAAGGAAATTACCAGGTTTATTCTTCAGTAACAGGAAACCCCCAACACAGAAGCTGTGGCTTCTTTAGTTTAGTTGCAACAAAACCAAAGGAATTTATTTTTTGTGAATGTTAACTCTACAGCTAAGCCCATTAGAGATGACTCAATTTAAAAAAAAAACAATAATTAGAGCAAACATATTGAAATATGTCAGTTTTTATGACTTCACACTCAAAATGTTGCATCAGAGTTTGAAGCCAATATAACAGAGGAGCAAAGACCTGAAAGTCATCCAACTAATCAGGTGAAATGAAAGCAACATTGCTACAGAATAAACATAATCAACTGCAGGGGAAAAAATGGCAATAAATTAATTTAGTTGCAAAAATTATTACACATACCCACAGACATCAGGGTATCAGAGGGCGGAGTCAGGAGTCCTGACAGTAATACTTCAACCACCATTCTTCTGACTTGCTTCACATGTCAGCAAGTGTATAATGTATATATTAGCATGGATAAGCAGGCTAGGATAACTGGATAACTGCCACAAGAAAATAAGGGCAATCTTTAAACTTAAATCTTAGCAAGAAAAGCTAAGTGTGTAATAAAAGCAAAAACAGGGGGAAAAACAGGTGTGCTTAAATAAACAGACTCTGTGACACAGAGTGAAGAAATGAGCCTGTCTAATTAGAGCTAAGTGGTAAATGGACACAGTGGAAAGGTTACACAGTATAAGAAACACTTACCGCTCTGTAAGGTCTGCTTTCCCCCAGACAACACTCCCACTGGAAGAGTTCCAGTTGGGGTCAGGCCTTTGAGTGTTAACACACTCTCACTTTCCTCCCTAGTCCAAAAACAACACACAGGAGCATGAAGAGCACACACAGTTTAGGTCTCAACAAGCGCAGCGACCCACACCTTGTGGTTTAGAGGCGGTTTTCAAACCACGAGGTCATGAGGTCACTGGATGTTTCACCTGCTCCGTCTCATCCAGTCTTTGTTTGGTTCGATGGACTATCTGCACTAATCGTCTCCAGCCAACCTGCTAGCATGTGCCCTGCTTCTGTAATTGGGTCACTGACAACTTGTGTCAATTTTAGCAGCTGAACCAATATTTTTAAGACTCGGTTCTTAGTGTACAGATTTGTGTTAGCACACTTTTATGTTAACATGTTGCCTTTAATGGGTCCTCTGCTTTTTATTCTATAGAAACTTTGAAACACTTCAAAGGCAAACTTCACCTTTTCTTATCCTACAGAGACATCTGTGCCTTTAAAAAGTGTCATTAGCCTTCTTTTACCCCCCCCCTCTCCCTTTCAGTATTCGACATACGGAGGCGTTTGACAAATAGGCTGCTTGTCCACTTGCAGCAGTGTGACGAGCTAGCAGCAGCACCATTAATCTGGAATAATGTGTAATGTCATTACAGAGTCTAGGTGCATCGTGACTCATCTTGTGCCCGCTCATTAATCCCAGCAGGCCAACGCTGTGTTTTCAAACTCAGCTTCACCAATCCTGCTGCATACTGGCCCTGTGGTGCCCTGCAAATTATTTCTGGTATTGTGATGACCCAGTGCACTGAGCTCATTGAAATCCCTTTAGCATATATACATGAACACAAGCATTTCCAACTGGGATTATATTTAAAAAAAAAAAAAAAAAATAGAAGAAGAAGGGAAAAAAAAGAGAATGTCAAAGTCAAGGCAGACCTGAGAACTGCGAAGACTCGGGCCATTTTTCCCACAGCACGAATCTTGTTCCGAATAACCTCCTTGCGCATCGCTGAGGTGCCGCCTGGAGACAGTGCGTAGTATGAGTTAAGACAAAGCACACCGCACTTTCCATCCCGAGGGAGTGATATTCTTCGCCCTCTTTGGTCACGCGTTCGTTTCAGAGCAGAGTGCGTGTACTTCAGGGACCAGAACTCCCTATTCAGCATCAGCCATGTGTGACAGAGGCTGAATTATGATTAAGCGCTACACATAAATCACCTCCCAGCATTCCATGTCAGTTAAGTGAGTGCCGGGACTCATTATCACTTCATCCAATTTAAAAGCCAAATTAAAATATTCATTCACTGAAGAAGCAGAAATGAATCTGTATAAAGTCTACAACCTAAGCACATGTGCACAGGTGAGCAGGCCACCTATATTTATGGATTTTTAGACAAAAAACACGCCTTAAACTAGGTTTAGCTTTGATACATGTTATAAATGTGTTAACCTTCTCAGGTCTGACTCACCATAGATAATAATCCTAACTATGCCCTTACCCCATTATTTGTGAAAAATAATTTTTGATGTGTGTCAGTGAGAAAGATTATTTCCTTTGTTTCCTGATTGCCACAATTCTAGAGAACAATGTACTAAAAACAGAGTCTACAATGTGACTAGTAGCTCATCCAGCTCACGATCCATCACAATTCACAGGTTACTGTAATGTGTGAAGAACAGAAAGAAAGTGAGAAGTTGTCTTGTCATTGTTTGGATGTATTTGTCCAAACTAAGAAAAATTCAAACCCACTGAGTAGTTTGTGTCCAGGACACATTATCCTGGTTCATCACCAAGTAAAAGTGTTTGATTCTAGGAGCACTATGAGTATGTGGTCACCGGTAAATATGAGGACAATCCCAAAAGTAAGGTCTCCTATTGTTTTAGAAATACAAACAACCGTTTATTTTTTCACAATATTTACATCACGGGTGACGTGTGGACATGCAGTGTTGTGGCGAATGCTTACGTCTTTCCTCAGCATTCCTCTTCTCCGGTTCTGAAATGGCCTTCTGAGTTTTTCCTGTGATTCACAGTACCTGTCAGCATTTACTGTGGTCCCAACAGGCAGAAAGTCAACCAATAATACCCCCTTTTGGTCCCAAAACACAGTTGCGCACTGTGCATAAGCATTCTCCACGATACCGTGCATCCACACGTCACCGTCAAACTATCGCTCTCCTGCCAAACTTTGGTTGGAACTTCATCCCTCACCCGCCCTACAGTCTGGGCTACGCACCCAGTGACTACCACCTGCTCCCAAAGTTGAACGAACATTTGTCCTGAAGACGAATCTGTGGCGGTGGCGAGCAGGTATGACATGGGCATTGTAAAACTGCCACAGCATCTACAAAAATGCATCGACCAAAATGGCGATTATGTAGAAAAATAAGTCTTCAAGCTTTAAAATGATGTAAATATTATGGAAAATTAACTGTTGTTTGTATTTCTAAAACAATAGCAGACCTGACCTTTGGGATTGCCCTCGTATAAAAAAGTCTGAAAAGACATCACATCGGCTTGTCGTAGCTTTGATCGTATTACTGACTGGTGACCAGGAGGTATCGTGTTAGGAAGAGAGGTGGACTGCCAAAGATTGCTAAATAAACAGTTTGCCTGCATGACAATGCTTTCATTTCAGCTTCTTCTCAATTTAGTGAGATTACCACTGTGGAAAAACACACTGGCAGTTCTCACTAATAACCTTCCCCAACTTAGTGGGTTTTTTTCTTGTTTTATTTTTGTACTGGTCCCAGTCCATTGGTTATATTTATGAGTAAAGAGTAAAGTATTCATCAGAAACATTTCGAGATGAACGTTTTCGAGTGGATGCTTCTTCAGTAATAATAGACATGCATTTTTTTTTACCTACCTTCATAAAGGTCGTCTCCCTCTGACATGAGCTCATCGTCGGAGCAAATGTTGAGTACATTCACCAGCATCTCCGTCACTGTAAATGAATCATAGAAAGCTCAATACAAGAATCGTTGTCGGCCTCCAATCCACTTTTTCCAAACTCTGCACCAGACGTACCCTTCTCTCCAACAAAAGGCAGAGACCACGTAAAGACATCCATAAAGTTGGGCAACCAGTAAGGGTGCGGGGAGCAGTTGAACTGTCGGATGTTCATCACGTTGTTCTCGTATTTTAATACAGCAGCTAGGATAGAAAGAGAGGAGGAGATGGGAGGCGACATTGAAGGACTGACGACAGGTAAATGCAAGAAAAATACAATAATGAGAGAGGTATGAGAAAAAAGAAAAGACAGAGACCTTTGTTGTTGTAGACATCTAGGTAATTTGGAGCTGAAAAGATTGTGATTAATGAAGGGAAACCTGTGGTCTGGCTTTTTCTGTACATCCGATACCTATGCAGCCGCAAATAAGAGTGACCCATTAAACATGTTCCATATCATCAAATGCTGGAAATGTGTTTTCAAAATACCACTTACCCTGCATCCTGTGCTTCATGGGCTCTTATTACCGACAGCAAGTTATTATTTACCAAAAAGTCACAGACTGCTGAGTAACTGCAAAGAGAGAAAGAGACAGAGAAGGCGGACCAGTTAAAACCACTAACAGAGGGGTCAAAGCGTAGTTCAAATTTAAACCATTAGACGGAGCAGCGTGAGGCCTCTTAAGATCAGTTACTAATTGACTGTTGGCCTGAGGAGATGCCTTCACGTTTATTTTCAGCATGTTGTGCCCTCTGGCCTCTTGAGCTCAGAGTTTAAAGATGCACAGTATCCAGCGGTTGCTCTGGTGTATTTATGGGATTCAGCAGCACTGGCTGGCCTCTCCAAAAAGTTTAGACCAAGCAGAGGCTAGATGAGGACAGCTACTTTATTTTAGAGTACAACTAATCCATTAGCTCTGGAAATTATTGGGAATAAACAAAGCAACATCAAACCAGCCCCAATGGTTTCTGATATTGGCAATATGAACAGACTTTAGACACGCAGACTTTAATGTTTTGACCAGTATTAATATTCGACTAAGGCAAAATCATAGTCACAATTATTTGTTCCATTTACTCAGCAACTCCAGAACCACCAAAGGAGGGGATGTTGGAGGAACACTAGTGAGTGCTGCTAAAAGAAGACCAGGTGAGAGATCCTCAGTGATGCAGAGATAAATGAGAGCATGCTGCAAGCAGCTGTTAAATAATCATTCAGCAGGTTCATCAAAGGAAACCTTGTTTTACTTTCAAGTTCTTTTGATGGAAATCTTGATGACTAAAACCTCTCCTTCCACGGTCTTGGCTCTAGCTCAACTCATCAGTAAGTAAATCTGGGCTCTAAGGGACTTGCAACACAAGACAAAACAGAGTGTTTTATCACTATTACTTTGGTTTAACACTTGATAAACTGGTCAGTTCTTAGACTATTTCATCTAAACTAGGGATCAGCTAAACAAAATCACTTCACCTTAAGATATGCATGAAAGGAGGAAATGTCTATAGCACTGCCAATCAAAAGTTATCAACTCAAGGACTACACACTTTCACAAAACCTCCAGCAAATCACGTCTATATTCAGTATAAATGTGTTCTTATTTCCCGAAACTTTATCAAGGTATCTATGTTTTATTTATTTTCTTGCACAGCTCTGCATTTCAGAGTTAGCAGCAATCCCAAAGTTTGTGCTAACAATCTTTTAGCCAATCAGTTAAGATATTTAGTTTTTATTTTTGTGAAATACAAACATAAAAAAAAAAAAATCTAATTAGTGGTTTAGACAGCATTTTAACAAAAATGTAAAATTATGCTAGCACCTGTTATACTTTTACAATAATTGAGATGCTGCTTTATCAATCTAATGTTAGCAAACAGAATGCTGCTGCACCAAAAACATCATTGTGATTGCTTTGGTTGCTAGCAGATCTCTGCAGTCACCTGTAGTTTGCATTGCAAACCAGAGTAACAACCTTTAGTCTGAAGGTGAACATTCCTCATTTCTGGTTTGCCTCACACTTTTCATGTTTCACTACTGCTTAAAGAGCAGTGTGTAAGTGTTTGCAGACAAGTTGGCGCCTTCCATGCAAACGTTTGGCAAACACAGCAACCTGTTGACAACCAAAGCAGTCGGAAGGAGGGTTTTCCATACAGCTGGTCGTGACCAAAGTGGTTGCCAGATGGTCGCTGACTGGTCTCTAGTTCTTTGTGACTGAGGCCTTAGTTAGCTCAGATTTACACTGACTGCATCACAAGCAGGCATCACTGCTCTTTGCCTGTGTGTCGTCACCTTGTTTATACAAACAGACAGCAGTATACACTAGAGATGGCACGATACCACTTTTTTATGTCCGATACCGATATCATAAATTTGGATATCTGCCGATACCGATATGAATCCGATATAGTGTTTTTTAATCAACAAAACTGTTTTTTAAATATCTTGCTGCATTTTGTATAAGTTCATACTCAAGTTTAAAACAACAACTACACTAAAGCTATTCTGTTATACCTGTATGCAAAAAAAAATATTTCATAGTTCAGCAATACTGATCAATCTAATAAACTTAAACCTACACCATCCTCCCTATTCTGGTATTTTAAAGAGTACTTAGCGTAAATATTAAGCAACCTAACTAATAGGGTTCCAACTCCCAGCAACAACAAAAATAAAAAAATAAAAAAATAGGGAACCACCCCTCACCCTCCACCTCATGATGCTTAATCGACGTAATCAACCTTAATTTGATGCAGTGTGGAAAAAAATGCACAGAAATAAATTATTTTTCAAGAAATATTAAATAGATTCAACATCTTTCTTCAACAAAATTGCAGAATTCACAGATGGTGCCTTCCCAAAGGAAAAAGTACTATAGCTTACTAGGGTATGTTAGACTTAATAGTTACTATATACAGTAATTGACTTCTATTCATTTTACATCAAATTAAAACTCTGGGTGTCAGATAATTATTTATTAAAAGCTAGACATTTTAAATGAGAATAAGAAAGAAAAGTATGTCTTTGTGCCCCCTTTTCCCTGTTAATGCCCTATCGGCCCCCCTGGCTAAACTTTGCTAGATCCGCCCCTGCACAGTTACCAGCGTCAGCTACGTAGAAAAAGATCCTGGAGTAGAAAGTAATATTAAATAAATTGTAACAACAGCTGATCAAGCTTAAACGTGCTGCTGTTGTTCAGCCGCTGGTTTGCTCTTTCTGGCGCAAAGTGGACCAAAAACAAACAAGAGACACGGACTCACGACAGAAAAGCCGATCAGCTGATCATTAAGCAGTTTCATGATTGAAGTAGCAGCAAGAAGAGGCAGTCGCTCCATATATCGCTTGTTAAGCTTAACGCAGGAATGCTTTACAAACATTCAGAGATGGACTTACACACTTGCTTTACTTCTCTCGGGGATAACTTTGTTGGAGATGAAATGCCGGGTTGCTAGCGAAGCTCCACATGCTATCCAGACCACCGACAGGTCCCGCATGCCACAGCCGCTCTATCACGTGATGCATACTGCTCCGACGTGCTAACGTTCTGAGGTGAGTTACGGCGTGTTGCAAGTTTTGTGAGGTGCTTTCGTGATATTTAATGGATCGGATTACATTTTTTATTTTTCTCCGATATCCGATCCAGTAATTTAGGTCAGTATCGGACCCGATACCGATACATAATATCGGATCGGTCCATCTCTAGTATACACCAGTGGAAAAAAGCAATCCTTTCAATGTTGTTGGAGTAGAAGGTCATCATACTGTTCCCTGGATTTATCAAACAAGGCAGGTTGACAGTCGGCATAACAACTACAGTGTTTTACATTTAGGTTAGGTGTAGAGTCGTTGACATCGCTGAATGCAGGTCGTCTATTGTATTTGGCTAACTTTTGTGTCAGTCTCAAAGACTGTTGAAAACTGACCACATTCTAAACAGGAAGAAACCTTTATTTAGACATTCTGACATTGTGAGTTATGCATATGTAATGTGTGAAACACTGCAAACCGCTGTGACAAAAGTCTTTCCCAAATATGAGCTAAATAGTTTCTTAAAAGTACTTACTTTGTCACGTGGAGACCACAAAATGAAAGCTATGATAAGTCCATCCAAAGTGGCTGACCAACTCCCCTAAGCTGCCATCTCTTGGTAAGGTCTGGTGCAATCTCTTAATTCACTGATGCATTTACCTTCACTTAATACAGACTTACTGAGGAAGCTGGTTACATCTCAAGTTGCACACAGCTGATGTAACTAGCTCCAAGCTAACTGATTTAGCTTATCTCAGCCTAACATTTTCTGTCATAAAGGACTGTGATAGACATTGTTCAATTTTTCCTCTCTAATCTTATTACACGTAATCACCTGGCTGTTGTTTCCTATTCTGAATAAGCATTTTGTATCTTTAAACCCACAGAATTCTAAACAAGCCATTTAAATGTGTAAATCTCTAACATGTTTGTCTGCTCTTGACCATTGATGGACCCATTTCCACAGAATATCGTGAAGGAGCTCTTTGAATCTGTTGACCTATTTTGTAGAGGCACACTGAATGTGTTGACCCATTTTGAACATGCTGTTTTTATCTGCTAACCTGTTTTGAGAAGGCCATTTTTGAAAGTGCCTCAATAAGCTGATTGACCTATAAAACAATGAATCCACAACCTGTGACCTGCGCGATGCAGCTCGTTTTCAATTCGATTCCTCATTATTATTATTAAAGTGCTCTACAAGGGCAGTGCTTGTGCAGAGCGTAACAGTGACGCTAAAAGCGGCAGTTTTACCTGAAAAAGTAAGAGCAGCCTCTGACGGAGTTGTGGTTGAAGTGTTCTGATGTTTTTTCACTGCCGTAGTCCTCACCAGGGTCTGCCCAAATCAGGTCGCACATTGGCCCGAATGCTGGAGGCTCTTTAAATCTGTCTAACTGCAGAGCACAAAATACAAACATGCTTAGCAGAGGAACTGTTTGGTTGTGACAAAGTGGCTAAAGCCACAAAGTCAAGGAAATGGACTCTCTCACATGAAAGCACTCCATTCAACTGCCTCGATGGAAATGACATGGAAGGAACTGAAAAAATGCATTTTTAACCGAACTCGCTTTGTTACACTAGTTCTGTCCCTGCTGACAGAACTAGTGTAACAAGCTGAGAAGCTTGTGAAAGGCTACAACCCATGTTAAACAATAAAAACCGATAAACAATTTCTGGCCTTTTTATTTTGACTAAAGCCCCAAGACCAAGACAGCAATATGCCAACACATCTCCTAATACTTTTTTCTATCAGACACACAAAACAGAAAACACGTCTCTAACATTTGCGATATGGTGTTATTTATTTACGTTGGACTTCGTTCTGTTCACCTGGTTGTGATTGTGGCACTCCAAAAATGTATGTTGCCAACAGGGAAGTTGCAAGGTGCCCTCTGCCAGACAAACTATGTAACGTCAACACTCAAAACACGACTGAAGAGTGTTTATCCAGAGTCCAAAAGTATTTGCCCAACGAGTATTTATAGCTTTTAACTGTCCATCTCTAACAGACTGTAAATAAGAGATCAACGTAGCTCCAAAGCTAAAAAGTGAAGCCAGTTTAAGCCTGCCTTCGTTCTATCCATCCATCCATCCATCCATCCATCCATTCGCTTCCGCTTATCCTTTTCATGGTCGCAGGGGGCGCTGGAGCCTATCCCAGCTGTCATAGGGCGAGAGGCGGGGTACATCCTGGACAGGTCGCCAGTCTGTCGCAGGGCCAACACACAGGGACAGACAACCATTCTGACCCCCGGCCTGATGGTGGAATTGAACTCAGGACCTTCTTGCTGTGCGCAACAGTGCTAACCACCGTGCCACCTGCCTTCGTTCTAAATATAGTAAACTAAGTTGATGACTTAATTTAGATGTTACTGTGTTTTCATGTCACCCTCTGGTGCTGTTAAATGTGCACTTTATTGTAAAACTTTTGTTTTCAATAACAGCCATATTGGTTGTCCTGCCTCAGTTTGACCAGGGCATCCATGGCACAGACAGGAAATTCCCATTCTGGATTTCAACCTGCCAACAGTGGAACAGGCTGTACATCAAAGCTAGAATCACGTGTAATGAGGCATGACGGAGTGAATGATCTGCGATTAGAGCTGACACTTTAACACATATTCTTGGAACATATAAGAGATTAACTTGAAAGGCAGATCTTGATAATGTCACAAGCCAGCGGTCGATCACTTACTTTTCTTATGTCATCTAGGCAGTTGATTTCTGGTGAGAGTCCGCCATGTACACACAGGAACTGCTGGTTGAGTAGGGCAGCGAGGGGCAGGCAGTCAAAGGCCTCCATACAGGCGTCATACACCCGTTCAGAGTATTTAATTTTACCTGCAGTAAAAATAAAGATTGGGATTCAGTCTGAGGTCATAATTGCTGCCAAAGATGGCAAAAAGTCTGCTGAATTTGCTCACTACAGCAAAGGTTTGGTAGATGTGTTATGAGCAGCTAGCAGAGCTGCCCTGCCAACTGTGCCAGTGGTGATTGTTTCCAGACAGCTTCTACAGCGCCACTTGCAGAAGAATGAAAGGGTCAGATTAGGTCAGGAGGAAGTCCATGCCTTATAGAGGAGAAGCAGCCAGGACAGTACAATGCGAGTGCCAGTTTGAAGACAGTGCTACTTTAAGGTCATAAAGGGGAGTGTGGAGCTTTGAGCTTGGAAATTAAAGTTCTTTACTCTGTGAAAATGTTTTAGTAAATGAACATCTTTAATGCTTAGTTGGAATAACAATGAAACACTACTCATGGGATGAGAAACAGGAAAATGCTATTTCTGCAGTTAGCTAAAGTAAAGAGTTAATGCCGTCTTATGAATCTAGGTTAACTCTGGACTCCGCACACTAACCCATGTCTTCCCAGAAACGACGTCATGGGGCTGTAGACCATAACAGATAAGATGAGTGTGCTTGGTGATAATAAACTATGCTAAAACTGTTTACTGATGAGAACAAAGATAATGTATTCATTAAATAAAACAGGTCGTCATTGTATCGCGCTTGCTCATGAGGCTATGAGCTGCATTATATCTACCGCACAACAAAGTTGCCGTCAAATCCATTGTAGCAAGCCGCTGTTTCTGCCGCTTGTGCAAGTCTCTATGTCTGTTACTTGTCTTATTGTGTAAAAGATTACACAGAGGGAGGTTTCGACCCCTTTTTTGTGAGTGCTGATGTGGAGGTATAGTGGCGACGCCTATCATTCATGAGAATAGCTGTGGGATGTGGAGGAATCGCAGGAATAGATGCAAGGATAACAACATGGTCAACAGAGCCTTAATGCAGGAGCCAATATTCTGCCCACGTCATAACTCCGAGTTGTACACTGTGAGGATCAATCATAAAATAAGTTGTAAAATAATCCCCACTCTTGACTGTTTAATCTGAAAAAACAAAACGTTCTAATATCATTAATGCGCCACTTAAAACAATAAGGCAACATGGGTTAAAACATCGTGTGAGGCCACACTGACTTGGATTGCCACATTTTACTACTTCTACAAACCTTTCCTGTGTGTACTACAAGACAAGGCTACGAGAGAAGTGTGATCGCAGCTGCAATCAATTACTACAACAATCCCTAATCTCTCTGATTAAATTTGTTAGTGTTGAACTGATTATCGATCAACAAGCTTTTCCGATCAATAAGCTTGCCCCAACCGAACAGGTGGCAAACTGTGTGTGTGTGTTTGTGTGTACAGATGAGGTGGCATGTGGGTGGGTGTGAGCAGGGATGTCGTGAGTGAAATCTATTTGCAACTGGCAAGACATTCTTTGCCGACTGCTTTCTGAGTTTGCATGCTAATACCTCCACACTTGCTCTGCACACACACACATGCAGCTGTCACTGACTGAAATCAAAGTGTGAGTGTAACTGTCTAAATAGCATCAACAGCATGCCTCGCTGCTCTCCATGCTTCAGCAGTTTGCTGTCGGCAAGACAAACGGGACAAAGGCTTCATCTCCTCGCTGGAGATTCGCAGATGAACTGTGAACTGTTGCATGTTGTGACGGGACTTCCCAATTCAACGTGTTTGTGACAAATGTGTCCTACTTACGGGGCGCTAGTCATTTTACTAAAGGGGAATAGAGAAAACACTCCACTTCTCTGGCATGAAGTCTGACTTAACATAGCTATGTTTCCCAGCACTGTGTTTTCAATTCCTTATTTGTGTCTGCGGTACTTGAAAGTGAAAAGAACTATCAATGGGACTAAGGAAATACCTGCGACAGCAATCCTGCACTCACACTATTAGCACCAGACTGCACCATTATATCTGGGCTATGTGTGAAATCTGAGAGCTGACTGATACAGGTCAATTTAAAGTGGTACAGAGAGCATATGAGCCCCCTGGGCTGGTCTTCATACGGCTGAGAAAAGCAGCACACTTACATTCCTGTTTGAAGGTGAAATACTCGGTGAGGTGCCGGCACTCGTGGTTCCCACGCAGCAGGAAGAGTGTGGTGGGGTGGTTGATCTTGAGAGACCAGAGGTAGAGAACGCACTGAGAGGAGAGACGGCAAGAGAGAAATGTGAGAAAGGTCAGAGACGTGTGCTCATAATTCTATTCAAACATATTCAGTGTTCTCCACACACAGGCTTCCCTCACCACTGTCATCAAGAGCTGTTCAAGGGGGAACTGTTGAGCTGCTCTTTCAAAGGTTTTAAGGTATGGACCTTACTATGTAAAGTCCCAGGAACTGATTTTTGGTTTAATTTCACACTATATAAAAAGCAAAAACAATATTTATGTTAATTAAATGTGTTATCTCTCTACATATGAACTAGATTTAATCATCTCTTGAATATGTTGACATTTTTACAACAAGCGTATTAGCATCCCAGATGACCCTCTCAAAGGCAGCAAAAGGCCCCGCTTTCCAACACAATTCACATTGTGTGAGTATTGAAACATTGTTACTATTGTAAAACAGTGTTCCAAAATGTTGCTACTATTAACATTTTCATATTTTAGAGCCACCGGAGATACAAAGGAGACATTACCGGTACTTATTGCACACAGACTTTATTTTGGCTGGCCACCCGGCCTTAATCAATTATCCAGTTCAGGATCATGGGAAGGGAGTATCCCAGGTGACATAAGGTGAGAGGCGGGGTGCATCCTGGAAAGATCTATCATAGTATTAACACTAAGTAATAGACAACCATTCAGACTCACAGTTACACCTATGACTAATTTAGAATTACCAATTAACCTGACCTGTGTGCCTTTGCACGGTGGGAGGAAACCAGAGTACCCAGAGGGAATTCACACAGCCAAAGGGAGAACATGCATACAAGCCCCAACTAGCCAATGGACTCATGTCCCATGGAAGGACTTCAACGCCACTGCCTTGGACTGCAGCTCGCAATGGTACTCCTTCTGCTCTGGAGATCTGCTGCAAGATGAAGGCTGACTCTAAGCAGAAACAGCGGGTAGCTGAAGAGAGCTGGTTCATGTCTTAAGCCAACCTCACTTACAGATTGGTTACAGAACAGAACAAGGACTACTTTGCCAGCTGCAGTCCAAGACGATGGAAGGCCTCCAGGTGGACTCAGGGTGAGAGATGCCCTTATTATGTTCTTGCAGCAAGATACATCATATTTTTAGTTCCCTTAGACCCTTAGAATGTGTGCATCTCCTTTAATGATAGACAACCCGTATACCCCTCCATACTGAACAATAATGTTTAGTGAAGCATACTCATATTAGAAACGCTAGAAACAGCAAATGTTGGAATAATTACTCAGGCAATTATCTATCACTCCATCCATCCCTGCTCTTAAAATGAATGTGCACTCTCAACCTTTGACCACTTTTGATCACAAGGTAGTTGCACAGGCCGCATGGTGGGAGACAACCTGTCTGCAAACAATCACAGACTAACTACAAACACTCTCAGACAGATTGGTGAAGGTTTCCAAATAACTGCTGCTTAATTTATAAACACAATGTGTCTCACTGCAACGCAAGGCTCAAACAGACTGGTTGCCATCTGGTTATATTCCTATATAAAAGTAAGGTATGAGTGCTTATGTCATTTTGCAGTTAAATTCCTGTCCTGTAGAAACTGCTACAACTGCTATTTGCTTTCTGCCACATGAAGCTCCAAACACACATTAACCATCATACGCCAAACAACAGTTTGTTTTTCCCTTTGCTAACCAAATATTAGAAGCAGTGGGATGGGTTTCGTGTGACTACATTACTGGTTCTAATTTTAAAAGAACAGAACAGCATTTACAATCCAAATCCAAACATGCTTTCTCTTCAGTTCATGCACTGTTCAATAGCTGCTGCTTGACACTCTCAACATGCTTTTTTAACATGTGCAAACCATGGCCCGCTATCGATGCAACGAGATGCCAAGGTAACCAGAGCCTGCAGGTGTGTGTTCACGCAATGTCGAAATAAGGTGGTGGTGGGTGCACCCATCTCATCTTATACACATTGATCACTGAGAGGAATATCAGACTGTGAAGTGCAGGTAAATGTGTTGAGGGGGCTGTCGGTGTGACTTGCTCTCTCTTATGTGCGGAGGCGTAGGAAAGGACATGGCTCTGAGTGGCTTGAAGCTGACATGGGTTTTAATGAGAGCTCTCTGCACTCTTTCAGCCAGCTACTCACGAGCGGGGAAAAGAAGACAAAGAAAGGGGCATGGAGCTTTGTGTGGCAGACATGAACACTGGCTACCTTCACCTCATCTCCCACAAACACACACACACACACACACACTCTCTTCAGCCTGTGCATGGTTTATGTAGGGGTGGAGCTGGGGCTTGGACGGTTTGTCCAAAGAAACACTTGCTTGGATCAAAGAGAATTCACTAAGTGAATAAAGAAATACACAGAATAAAACAGGTTGTGCACACACAATGAATTTAGACTTTGGCAAATTGCTGGCCTGCAGTGGTAACGCACTGCTTCAAGAGGCTGCGGTGACTCTTTATGTTACCTAGGTAACCACATCCTGATATCCATTTTCCTATATCTGCCTTATGCATTACTGAAGTGGCCTAAAAAAACACTAGCCCTGCTAGTGAGATCAAATGGCTGCAAATCTATAGATTTTACACTTCAGTGCCGTTTCATGGTGACTTTAGGCTGCTTCCTCTCATGTGTAGAAACAATGACACATTTCAGAGATCTTAATCACTATTTTAACAAATCAATAGCTGCCAATTAATGATTATTTTATATTTGTAATAATCTACCTCAATCAAAAGTCTTTAAGAGAAAAAAAACCAGACCATCTAATCTCAAATTTTTGAGAAAAATCATCAGAATTTAGAAGGTGAAATTGGAAGTTCTTTTTTTTTTTAATTCACTTAAATTATTAATTTATTAAAAAAGAAAAAAAAACTGTTTTACCTTAGAATGACTGACTGATCCACTGTTTTAGCTCTAGACGAATTAAGAAAAATGCAATTACGAAGTTGCTCAACTCAATTTTTTCTAACAAAAGGGACGACTTCTGGGATTAAAAAAAAATGAACCCATCAACTAACAGAAACTGCAATTTCTCTACTGACCCTTTGAGGCTGTCTGTAAAAATCAAGTGAATTTTCATAGACTTAATATACATAAACAGACAATTTAAAAGCATATTTTCAGTCTTGTATATAAGAAAAATGGTTTTGGCAACTGTCTTATTTGGACCATATGGATCAGAGTCCAAACTGGTGAGTTCACAGCAACTGTGTCCATCTTTTATCTTTGAATTCAACTCGATGCAAAGCTTCTACTACTAGCTTTGTATGATTCCCAGTCTAAAATAACGCTTGTTTATCTCATCCTTGGTGAAGCCCCCTAGTTATTCCGCTGTCCCTCTTCTTCTAACTTTAACCCAGCTTTCTTTTGATTGGCTGTCACTTATAAACAGAAAGCTTGAACAGCAGATGGGTGGCGCTTCTGAGTTGTGTGCCTGGGATGACCATAATAGTGATAGTGTCCCTCATGGACATAGAGCCAAGATTACAAACACTGCCTGAAACTGAGCATTCAGAGCAGTCTGAAGCCTGAGTTTTCAGCTCACACAGATTACTTGTACATACACTGACTACATTTAATCTTTTGCTCATGTGCTCATGAGCATCATCATCGAAACAGTATATAAAAATACAGCAAACAATAACAAAAACCAAATTGTGCTATTCCTGTATGTGTGCTCCAAAGCTAATCCAGTGTCTGGTACTGTTAAAAAACTATCCTGGCAGCTTATTGGATTGGTTTCCCCTCAGCAGCATTTTTAATTATATCCTAATAATTGCCTGGCTGCATATTATGTGTGTATCCCATTACTTTTAATTAGTTGCTGCATGTTAGTTGTGGACTACTTTGTGACCCCAGCCAGCCACAGTAGGTTGTGGAGTTTTAGAACCACAAGAAGCATACCCAAACAAATCAAGCTGATTCTTAAGAGATGCCACTGTTTCTAGAAAAATGTGGTGAAAAAATATAAGCGTCTTTAGTAAAAACAAATCTATCTTCATCATCAAGAGCCTTTCATTCCCTTTGCTACTTCTCTGCCCTTTTTTCATCTGTGACATTTCACCCACCTCAGGCAATAACCCAGGGCCATCAAAAGACCCCAGAGGAGGCTCAAAATGTTAGCATACGTCCTAGTTGACTCTTACATAGCTTTCATTTTCTGCTTTTTCTCCACAAATATTCAAAATACTTGAAGACATGAATCAGGACTGCACACGCCCTTTAGGAAAAACAAAAAACCCCACTCATATCCATCATGTATCTACTATCAAAAGGTGCAGCGATGTCTGAAAGGCTCCCTTCAAGCACTTATGGACCAGCTTTGGGCCCCAAACAGTCACTATTTCTAGGCTCTTTTCTGTTATATAACATAACTTTTACAATTACTATGTTCTTAAGTTGTCAAATATACAAGACGCCGGGAAGAAGGAGGAAACTTAGACTCCAAAAGCCGGTCCTAGCAGGTCTGGGGCTAAGGATAGAAGTCGTCAACAACTGAAATGTCAAAATGTTATTTATATTTAAAACATCAATACTTTAGATGCTCTACAAGGACTCGTGCTCCACAGGGTGCTTAATTCAGACCAAGAAAAGTACTTACAGGAACAATCTGAAATGTGTGCTACAAGGAACCCACTGTTAATACACTAACTCATACTGAGTCTGAGTAAGTAACAGTGAAGCTTGAAATTCACACTACTCCCACAAGGTATCCATATTTTATTTATTTGGGGGTTTTTTGGGTTTTTTTTACAAATCTGGCTCTCAAGGCTATTTCACTGCCATCTGGCATAATTTCTCCCTAGTTTTTGTTACCAGCATGAGTGCTGACATACAATATTGTGCAAAAGTCTTGAGTCACCCCTCGTTTCTTAATAATGTGCTAGGAAAATGGCAAACAGCAATACAATTCACAGAAATATGTGCAAACATACATGGAAATAAAGCATATAAGACAAATGGAATATGTACAAAAAGGACATTCAAAGCTCTTCTTTGGACGCTGTCTGCCTTTTGTTTTGTTTTCTGTCAAATTTTCACGCTGTTTTAATAATGTCAAGGTCTGGGGAGGCCAATCCATGACTGACAGTGTGTTTTATGCTTTTACAGCAAGGACAGTGCTGTAAAAGGATCACTGGGATCACTGACATGCTCAAAGAAAGAAGCCGTTTCCGTCAATTCTGACAAGATTAATTCAGTTCTTGTGGCATACCTCAGCCTTTTCTCCACATTTTCCTTAAGAATTTCTTCCTCACATACATTCTTCCACTGAGACCATTTCTAATGAGGCTTCAGTAAACAGTAGATGGACCAACTGAAGGGCCACATGCATATCTCAGATCAGCTGTTCATCTGCTATAGATAGTTTTAGGTCTGCCCCTTCTTATTTCATTCTCCATGTTAGGGCAGGGCAATATGGCCAAAAATATTTATCAAAATATATATTAAAAAATTTACGATAACGATATAACTGACGATAATTGATAATTGATGTGAGACAAAATACTTTAAAACTCCGCAACTTTATTAGTGCAAAAAAACCCATCAATGTATTTTCACTTAAACAAGCAGCTGTTTTTTTATGGTTCGAGGTCAGTAAGCACAACCAGAATTCATACATAAGGCGCACCGGATTATAAGGGGCACTGTCAATTTTTCAGAAAATAAAAGGATTTTAAGAGAGACTTATTTTCCGAAAAACACTGTAATAACAACGGCCCGCTTGCATGCTCTACCAAAAGTTGTGCCAAACCAGTTCCACACCACTGACGTTGCACCATTTTTACAAACCAATTCTGATTAATCAGTTTCATTCAACGATCCGCCTTCACCCTTCTCATTCTCCGTCGCCCCCATGCTTTTTCTGCCATGTGCGTATGAAAACAAAGGCACTGCGCATGCACGTTTTACCCATATTCTATTGCAATATTTTATTTTCTTATAGTTGCCTAACATTATACCGGTATTACCGTGAACAGTATGATATGGCCCAGCCCTACTCCATGTGTCTAGTTCCCTCAAATGCACACCACGATGACACCTGCCAGGTTTCAGGCTCTTTTGGAACCACCTTCAGTGATAAATTGTCTCTTATGTGTAGACATAACACTGAGTCATCCCCTCAGTTAGATGCTTTTCTTATGCTTGATTCATATGCCACTGTTTAGTGGCTTCAAAACAAAACAAAAAAAAACCCCTCACACATTCCCCTGAAAATGGTCAGATTCAACAACTGGACTGAAAATAAGCGAAAAAGCAGCCAATGTCTTAAAAAAAAAAAAAAACACTTTTAAAGACCTTCAGAGAGCCTGGAGAATGATTGCTCATGACAAATTTAAAGGCTACAAGAAAGTCTGGCTCCTTGGGACCAACACATAAATAAATGCTTGTTTTTTTGTAATGTACACAAACCATTCCAAATGTGTGATTTATGTTTTACTTTAAATGGTAAATGGCCTGTATTTATATAGCGCTTTTCTAGTCCCTAAGGACCCCAAAGCGCTTTACATATCCAGTCATCCACCCATTCACACACACATTCACACACTGGTGATGGCAAGCTACATTGTAGCCACAGCCACCCTGGGGCGCACTGACAGAGGCGAGGCTGCCGGACACTGGCGCCACCGGGCCCTCTGACCACCACCAGTAGGCAACGGGTGAAGTGTCTTGCCCAAGGACACAACGACCGAGACTGTCCAAGCCGGGGCTCGAACCGGCAACCTTCCGATTACAAGGCGAACTCCTAACTCTTGAGCCACGATCGCCTTTAAACCAGCTCACCATTATAACTGCAATAAATTCAAACGCACTACAGGCACAGCCCTCCAGCCAGAGATCTTGAGAGTCGCACTGCAGCTTTCTGCTCCACTCCTCTGTCTTATTTTTAACTGTTCTAATCAGCATGTAGAAAAGTGTGCCCTTTGGAGGTGTCACTGAAATAAAAGTTAGGGCACAAAAACCCATTTGGTCAAGGAGCACTGCAGTAGTACTCACATTTTAGCAGCCTTTCTCACCATGAGCAACCATCTGAATCAAAGTGGCACTGAAACACGCTCAAGTCCAAATGCTTTTCATTACATCAGCTCTAGCCCTTTCAATGTGACTTGCAGCCAGTGGTCTTACTACAACATCATATACACTTAGAATACAAGCAGCAGTATAAGAAGCCACCAAAACATAACTAAACTAGATTTGACTTTCTGACAGTAACACTTGTATCCAAATTGGATATAAAGACAGCTTTTTTTCTTAAACATACAAGACATACAGTTAGAATACATCAAAACATATCACACTGTTAGATAAACAATAGTAACTGATTACATTAGCATTTTTTCCCAATCCATTTATTTCCCACAAAAGAATGAGCCTGCCTAGCATTTATTAACAGCCCAGCTTAAATATCTGAAACGCTTTACTCAAAGTCGCCAGATCTGAAATCAGTCAGAAAAATGAGGAATAACCCTTCTAAAAAAAAAAAAAAAAACTACAAAGAAAAACCAAAACATTGTTATAAGTCTGATTATTTCTTTAAATTCATAAATTAAATCTCACTACTTAAGCTAAATGCTTTCAAATTGCTATTTTTTTGTTATTGTAAAGGACTTCTTAATCCTTAAAATTGAAACATTTAAATGCAAAAAAACATGAAAATATAAAAATTTGGAAGATAAAGAAATAACCTTTTAACACTGACACATGCCAAGATAACTGCAGATAATTTTCAAGCGTTATCTGTGAACCAAACCTATACAGCATGTTCATACAGTGTTTACTGATACCAGAGAGAAAAATATTCAAAAGAGGAAATAAATGTTTCATTATTATTAAAGTAAAAATAAAAATGACTCAAATATACTAACACAACTACTCACCTCAATACTGAAGTACCCTCGATCTACGTAGTCACCAAGGAAAAGATAGCGCGTGTTACTCGGTGAACCTCCGACTTCAAACAACTTCATAAGGTCAAAGAACTGTCCGTGTACATCTCCACATACTGCCAAAGACAGACAAACACGTTGCTCTTAATTTCTCAGTTACATATTATAGCCATATTACTTATTCTGGATATAGATGCTGCTCTTATGAAAGTAATGGCCATAAATGCAAATAGTTCAAATAGTTCTCCTAAAAGATTTTATCCTACTTGTTGTTTTGATGATGATGGTGGACAGAAAAGTCAAAAATGACCTTTACGTGTTTGGGACCAGACGATGTGGCCCACATCTACTTTAAACCATTTACTGACTCCTTGTGGCTTTTCACCAGTATACTTCTGGCAGGCTGCCACTGCTGCACCCACCAGGCTTAACAACTCTTCTGATGAAAACTCTGCTATGATCAGTGATAGTATATCTGTGACCTGTAATCCTGGAAAACATGGATTCCATAGAAATAGAATCACAGGGAGAAGGCGATCACTCAGATAAAGTAGGTATTGCTTCACTCTGAAGCTGAGAAGGGTCACTGCACTCTCCTTTTATGACACCAGCCAATGGGTTTTCTTGTTATTCCTTATCTAGTGTGACTATAGGATGCATGCTTGGTAGTCTGTGTGGTCACAGGTGTGAAAGCATGTAGATATCCACCTGGAACCTGGAACCAGGTCAACTTAGGTCAATAGCGGACGGTGAAACTAAGGTTACCAGTGGGCTCAAACCATGCTAATGTGACATCACGACTTCTGACGTGTAGGATGGTTTAATGTTGTTTCAGATATGCATGCCCGCAAGCAGGTCGGTCTTTCCATCTATTTCATATTATTGTAGGACTATAAATAATCCAGACGGCACAGGGGCGAGAAGCTGGAAAAATAAAAACCTACGTTCGCTTCATTTCCAGTTACTAAAGCTGTGCTTTTCCCTGAGTACAGACACGCACCTTTTAGATGAGGTGAGTGCATACTTAAGCATACAGATAGATGGTTACTCAGCTGTGCTGCTCTCACAGTTTCAGAGCAGTGACCAGTGCGTAAGCTATACTGTGACTTGACAAAGCCGTAGAATCCCCTCAATGAATGGAAATATATACATAGAAGGGTTATAGACACTGCAACAGATTATTAAAGATTGAGTATACTGCACGCTAAATTTTAAGCTAAGTTGTAAATGCTGATGTTTGCTTGGCACGCAAAAGGTCGCTGGTTCAACTCCAGCTGGACACACAAGGCCCTTTGGGGTTGCGTCAGAAAAGGCATCTGAGGTAAAACTCAAAACAAGCATGTGGAGCTACCTGCTGTAGTGACCACTTGTGACAAGGGAGCAGATAAAAGTCACTTCCTTTATCATAACAATACAGACTGTGGCGGTACCTTTCTAACCTTTTCAACCATTGTAGAGGTGGAGGGGGGAATTCTTTTTAAGTTGAAATTTTTTTTATTATTCACTGTCACTGAAGTCACTACTTCTGAATTATGCAGTAAATGAAAGCCACTTATCTGTGGGTTCAATGAGAACGAAACAGTAGCACAGCCAGGACTTTGTACAAATACTTCCTGCGTATTTAAAGAACAACTGACCAAGCAATACTTCTCATATCTCTTTACCTAGGACTACTCAGCTATACAAACTATATGAGCTGAATGAGCTATTCTAATCAATCACATAAACGTGCAAAGCCATATTTATCATGCTTGTCATCCCCTCCCCCAGAGTTTAGCTTTAGTAGTTTTAACAGGGTTTTGCTTCCTGAGGTTGAAAAACAAAACAGAGTATGATAGGGTCAGCTAAGGAGCTGACACTTGTCAAAGCCTGACTGACAGCCTGCGAGGCCCTCTGATCTGGTGAAAGAGTGAGGCGTCAGCCATAGAACATAAACAAGCCTGCAGTGGAATAATGCTGAAGCATCACCGAAGCAGACTTTAAACATCTGCTCAGATGTCTTCAAATAGCTTGTTTATTCTACATCCACCTGCTTTACACTACTTGACAGTGATAGTCTGTTGAACTGTGCTCTTTACTGTATGTCAAAGTTCAAAGTCAGTTACAGAGGAGCAGCACAATTTCTTAAATGGATCTAGTGTAGGGTACAGCACATGTGGGTGGGCAATATTATCGAGAGTCCGAACAGTAGACCTCCAGCTCAAGGGTAATCTGCATTTTTGTTAGATTATCCTGGAAACAGATCTGAAAAAATATGCAAGTAATACTTAAATAATGATTTCCAAATTCACTAAACACATGACACAGTCCTCCTTAAGCTCCTAATATCGAGCATCTCACCTGTAATAGGTGCCTCCACCTCCAGCATGCACTTCTCTTGACGGAGGATGTTGGCGCCGTCATTGATGATCTTGAGAGCCACGTCCTCTTCCACGCGGCCCTCCTTGACGAGGTGGTTGCGTAGCAGCTCAGCATTGGGCTTGCCATCTTCATACAGCTCTTTTATAGTCAGCTTATGTTGTGGAGGGTATGGCACAGCTGTTGATTAACAAAAACAAAAAAATCATTATGATAGTCATATTTGAGCTTAGGTTGGCAGCTGCATGACAACTGAAGGGGAGCAATGCCGTCACAGGGGAGTGAGACAATCTGTGTCAAAATTCAAACTTCTGCCTGGATTCATGACTCAGACAATTTAGAAAAATTCAAGCATGATGATGCTCATTATTTATCAATTATTATATTTGCTTGTTCTTAGCCATCCAAGATGACATCATTATGGTTCACCAATAAACATCAACAAATCCTCGATCATTCGAGAAAAACCTTCCATGGTAGGGGTAGGACCAAATCTCGATATTGTCACGGGATGTGGGGTTTCCTCCTGAATTATGATAAAAAGCTAAAAATCTGTCAAAGTCAAGCTTATAAGGGCATCGACAGTAACTAAGTTGCTGGCAACATATTCATTCGTGTTTATATAACGAATGCTGCCAAAATTGCTGCATTAAGATTATTGGCCCAGTTCATCTAAAAATCTGAAAATGTGTTCGTCTAAACATAAAAAAAAAAAAATCACTGCATCCTTAAGATGAAGTGCATTTGTGGAATTTTTACACTGATAGTGCGCATTAATTAGCATTAAGGGCGTAACCAGTGTGAAGCAAAGCAATCTGTAATGGTGTAATCTGGTTCCACTACAGCACCAGCACAGAGCTGCTAATGTCCACTTCAGACATACTAGTCTGGTAGTAATGTTGCAATATTCAAAGATTGTCCAGAAAATCAAGTGAAGTGGAAATAGATCATGATAAGAAGTTTGTTTGGATTTCTTGGTAATGATCAAGATTCCAGTCAAAAATCATTTTTCCCTTTTTTGGTTTTTAATCTCTAAGTTTTTCTTTTCCAAAGAAAAACTCCAGCATGATGCAAAGTCTGAAGGCCTGATTCTCCAGAAGAAACCACCATCACCAATTAAGGATAAACTGATTTTCACCATTTGTGAGCAGCCGCAGATTATGATTCAATCTTATTTTTATATGGAGAGAAAAAAAGGAGATGGCTTGGAGAAAAAAGAAATCATAGGACTTATTTACTATATTTGCAAAACACCAAAAATACTCTCAATGTTCATTATTGCATTCAATTAATTATTAATTACAATAGAATAGAATAGCCCTTTATTGTAATTGTACATGTACAACAAAATTGCGGGTGCACCAAACTAACTATGCCAGAATAGAATATAACTATGACTAAGTATGACTAAATAACAAACAGGAAAATATGGATAAACAAGAGCAATATATACAAAAACAATAGAAAGGCACACATTAGAGAACAAGTTGCAAAGTGAAAAGAGCAGACTTGATCTCAATAGAGTCCGTGTGTGAGTGACCTGAGTGATGAGAGTTACTGGTGAGTGGGCAGGGTGGGGTGGGGTGTGGGGGGCAGTGTTTTTTAACAGTCCGAATGGCCCAGGGGAAGAAGCTGTTTGTGAGTCTGGAGGCGTGGGACTGATCAGATGGGCAGCGTATCAAACAGCTGGTGTGCGTTAGTTCTGTTGATGTAGTTTCATAGCAGTTTTATTAGAGTTTTCACCATTTCAATAATATAGAAACAAATACAATAACGCTACCCTGATTAGTACTTGGTGACAGCGGGGAGGAAAACCTCCCTTTGAAAAGGAAGAATGCATCAGAAGAATAAGACTGTGTGGTCCCAGCAGTCCACCCTTGGATCAAAATGTTAATTTAGAAGTAGTATTGATACATAAGGACAGATTACCCCAGAAGTAACACAAAAGAAAAAAGCAGTAAAGAAAAAAAAAACCCAAAAACATTATGGATCTCAGCCTGCATTCACTTCAGCTGAAGTCATGAGGTGTGACATTTTCCTTGACTGAGCCAAGACGAAGTTACTTGCACAGAAGCAGCGACGCATACACCTACATGATGACTCCATGTAAGAGACAAACAACAAGAAGCCCTGCACCTCACTTAACCCCCCCAGCCGCACCCTCCCTCCCCCCATAAGCTGCTCCACACCACCTACACAATCCTTTTACCATCATCACTAAAGGTCAGTGCTTTTGAGGCTGAGACCTGAAAGCATCACGATCAAAACACAATTAAGTGAGTAACAAGTAAACCTGGAAAATGTATCACAGAGGCAGTGTGACAGCAATGCAGTTGGGGCATTAGCTTACCGTGTATGGAAAACAACACGTTTTAGTAATCACGGAAGCAATATTTAATCTAGCTCTCTGACAAGAGACTATAATGCAGGGAATTATATCAAAATTGCATAACTGTTTTAAAACAGTGTCCACGGTGTAGATTAGTGCTCCAACACTGGCATCATGGGTTCATAAAGCTGCAGGAGCAGATAGCTGCCGACTAATCTGCGCTAGCTCAAAACAATAGTAGAGGGAGATCCAAGCTCTCACTGCCTGGGTCTGAGAGGTAAAACGGATTATGCCTGGTACGCCCAACAACAGACCAAGCGAACACAAATGCATTATGCCACCAATTAATTATGGTGTAAAGCCACCGTCTGTATGGCATGCAAAAAGAGGTGAGCCGATCTGGGATCGTGCTGATGATAGGACCCTTCTTTTAAACCCATCCCTCACAGGAATCGTGGAAGGAGACAAACACCGGTATCAGCTAAGTGGTGCAGGCGGCAATGATCACAGAAAGGAGAGAGAGAGGAATTCTGAGAATACTGTCACACCTACACACAGTAAATCAAACTGCAAGCTGAGGAGAGGAAAAAAAAAAAGGGATTCAGACTTAAGTGTGAATGTTTTTACTAATCAGTGATGTGGTGCCTGGGGTTGCCAAATGTATTTGTCACTCAGGCTCATGCCATGAGTCTAGACTAAGAGTTTAGAGGCAGATCTGCAGATTGGTTTTTTTTTTTCCCCACAAGGAAATAAGTGCCGTGTTTTTATTGCTGGTGCAATAAAGCAAGGGAATAAGTCACAAGATGTTATTTGGGCGACAAACTACTGCCAGGCCTGTAGTGGAAAAGCTCCGACTTGACTAGCCTGTGTTGAGGACAAGCTGTCATGCACTGGCTAGTGTGGTATAAATAAACAGTAAGTGCTCCCAAGCATACGAGGCACGGCCGCAAAGAGAGCTGTAAGCTGAGGTACGAGCCTTAAGAACAGATTAGGTAAAGCCTCTATTAGCAAGGGCTTCGAGATTCAGGGGCTGTTTACTTAAAAGCTTTGTCACACTGGAAGAAGGTTCCTGTATGGACAAAGCCGGCCCTGTTTAAGAAAAAAAAAAAATCATAAAGATACAGAATGGGCATGACATAACCTGACTGTTAAACATTTCAGGCAATAGCAGCGCTGACCACATTTACAAGCAATTGCCTGGAGGCTAGCTGGTAATCCCCCCCATTCCCCTCACATGCTGGACAATAACTTTTCTCAGTGCCAGTGGAGTGAACAAGCCATGCAGCTCAACAGGAAAGAGCCTGCTGTCCTCCAGTAATGATAATAATAGCAGTAATAATAAATTCTGGGGTTGATTTGCCTGCACGATCAAGACTGGAGCTGTCTGTTCAAACACAGATACAAATGAACCTCTGGCTGCCAGTAAACACACACACGCTAACACACACACTTACACTCTCCACTTCGTGGGGGGGGGGGGGGGGGGGGGGGGGGGGGAGAGCGAAGCAGCCCGCTCATTTACCCAGTGAAGAAAAATGTTTTGTTAAAAATAATAAGCTAATAATATAACATTAAGCTGCCACCGCCCTGAGAGTGGCTTCTTATTAGAGGCTGCCTGGCCTAATTAGCATTAATGTTTGATGAACTCTTCAAAACTACACACACACAGACGCAGGGCCGCTACTGCACCGCATCAACACCCACAGCCTGGCAGGACAACAAACGACTCAAGAAACAAAGACGCGACTATCTGCCATCCTGCCCACTGAGGATAATGTTTTGGACAGTGATATGAGCCGGCGTCTCGAATATGTTCGCTATTGTTTCAAAATCCACACAATGGGAGAGGGATTGAATTACAAAGATGCGGCTGGGCAGAGATGAATGGAGTGCACTGTGGCTGCATGAATTGTCAAGTCCACTTCAGATTGCTCTAATTATCAGTGAATGCATTACCCTTCACGAGCTAAACAGGCACAGCCTGGGTTTTTAATTTCCCGTCTCAGTCACTCGATCAAGTGGGGTGGTAGTTGCATCCGCTGCCCCTGTGGCCTGTCTGATTTTATTTTAGGTGCAGGGTCAGATTTATCACGGAGCAATAATCGAGTTCGATACGCATCAAAAGTGACACGAATCTTTACGAAGGGCCAAATCTCAACTTCACTGAGGGTCTTGCGGCATCGCTCAGCTGTCAGACCCGACTCTGAGGGACGAAATACCAGGTCAAAGGAAGTTAATTGAGCTTAACTGCTGACTTACACAACCAGAGGAGCATTAGTCTCAACAGGTCTATCAGTTAAGCCCTCTTACAGTCACAGGTTAGACGGTAGACTCAAACCCATTGTTTTTGTTACTTAAAATCTGCACTAATAAGAAACCGAGCCTCACTTCAATCTACAGTCCTTCTCTCCTCCCTGTCACTGTGATGCTCTCTCTCTCTCCACCATGTGGCTGGCCATGTTGGGAACATCACTGGGGAGATTCTTTCCACAATTAACTCACTCTCTCCCTTCTGGCTCACACTTCAGCATTCCAGTCCCCTGGCAGGACACTCTACTAGTGCCCTTGCAGACAGCGATGGAGGCTGCTTTGGCATTAAGAAGCAAGCGGTGGTGGTTACAGGGGTGGGGTTAGACTCTCTTTCTTTGGGGGGCTACCTCAGACTTTGCTATGCCTCAGCCATCATACAGGAGACACAACAGATGTTCGCCCAGTCTGTCCAATGAGCCTGGACGATGTAAGCGTGAAGGAATCCGTCTTGTTGTCGAGCTCCACTGGTAACCTGAGCAGACCTCGGGTATTCCCAAGAGAAGGCCTCATGATTTTAGAGTTCATTCATTTGAAATATCAAGGTGACCGGAGAGGACGGCTTCTCGGCTTTGATTTGTGCCAAGCTGCGATCACTGGCATAGGTACCAGTGGCCAAGTGTGAAAATAATACTTTTATGAAATCATGATCTTGACCTGATTCAGGTTCATCCACAGATATCTGAGCATCCCCCTGATAAAACTGAAAGGCTTATGAGACTGCAATAGTACACATTAGTATTCACACACGTACTGATGATAAGGTGAGACTTTAAGTGTATATGTCGCTTTATAAAGCGTGACTTGTGTGACCAGGTATAACCATTAAGTGCAACTCTGTCATGCAACAGCCCGAGTGTGTTTAAACAAAGTTTCTTCAAACGCTACAGGTGGTTTTCTGTACCAAACGTTAGCTTCCAGTCAAATCATGCATGATGCGCTGGTACTGTGAGAGACTCTCACCTTTTACGAGCCGTTCCGTTGTGGACTGTTTCTCCGGCTTGTCTTTATCCTTTCCTGACATGTTTCCACTGAACGCTAATGTGTCGGGGCTTAAATCTCGAACACTTCTCAGCCCGCTAGTCTCAGGACCAGCTAGCACCCAAGTCTGGCCGTCACCTCCGTCTTGACTTTCGGCTGGGGGGGTGGGGGTTCAGAGGCACTACTACTTTTATGTTCGCCCTCCCTAACGAACTGTGCAGACTAGAGAACGACAGAGGTCCAGCTTTTGTTGTGGTTTGACTAGCTAATAACGTAGCTAGCTCGCAGAAACATTAACACTAGCGAATAACTATAGCACAAAGTAGGAATTTTGACACTGTCGTAGAAATACAATTAACGCAAACACTGACAAGCGCTTGATGGTCTATATTTGTCAAGTGCAGCAAATAATACCCGGTTGTTACCCAGAGGGAGGCTGCCGTTAGCAGCTAATCCGATTTAGTTACTCTTTTTCAGCTAGTTAGCCAGCTAACATTTTAACGTATTGGCAAGTCGGCGGACAGGCAAAGACAGCAGCGGAAGACTGGCGTTTCATCTTCAGTGTGCGGGGCGCTCGTTGAAGGAAACAGTGACAGCAGCACGCGAATCGCGATTATTCTGAATGCATAAAGAGCGCAAGTCCTCCCGAGATGCAGACAGCGTCTTGACAGAGTATCCTCCTCCTCCTCCTCCTCCTCCTCGGATTAAACTCTAATCTGACAGTGAGTGAGGAGCAGCGGCGGGTTTCCTACAACATGGTGGAGCCCATATGACGTGACTATGGAAACGCAACACGTGATTTAAGGGTGCGTTCAAAACGACAAACCCACTTCTTCGTATTGTTCTGTTTTTTTAAAGTAACCCGCAGTTTGCTTGGTTGCTACATATAAGCGAATGGAGAGACTGCCACCAAATACCACGCCAGCTAATAACGAGTTACTATGTCAACCGTGACAATGTCTCCCTCTGGCGTTCTCCTTTGGATTGTCATTTTACTAACTGTCAATGAACGCTTCCTGTTTTATTGATTTCCAAGTTAACTAATGCAAAGTTCGATCGTATAACTGGGAAACTGGTCTTAGCTGATACTTTAGAATGTGTGATCTTATATAGAAAATTTATATATAAGAAAGGGTTTAGAATCTATAGGAAGACTTAAACATGTGAATGGTTGTTATTAAAATTTCCGATTACGAGGTAAAAGTAATCCTGTGAGCCAACTGCTCAGGCTTTAGACTGCTTTAATTGCTCAGCTCATACATTTTTTTTAAAAACCTGAATCCAAATTATGTCAAATTGAGGGGATATGCTTATTACGGTCATTTCAGAATCCCAGCTCTTGCTGTTCAGTACAGCAACTCTGCTCTACTATCCTGCTGTTTAGACCTTCTGTTTGTTAGAAGCAGCCAATTAGAAGAAAGCTGGCTTAAGAGAGGGTGGCTTAAAAATGCTTGTTTTTGTCAATGAATAAAGAGCCTCACCCATTTAAGATAGATAAGGATTATTTTATGAATCATGTAAAGCTAGCTAAGTAGATCCACTTTAGAGATTAATAATAATGTATACTTTATTGATCCTCATGGGGAAATTCCTCTCTGCATTTAACCCATTCACTAAGTGAAGCAAGGGGAGCAGTGTGTAGGGACGGTACCTTGCTCAGGGGTACCTCAGGGTAGCCGTTCAGTGGATTCGAAACCCCCGACCTTCCGATCATGGGGCCACCACTCTACCTACTGAGCTATCCCTTCCCTTTATTTATTTAGTACCCACAGAAGTGTAACTAAAGGGTCTCATGTTTTTTTTTTTCTCAAGGAATAGCTTTGAATTCAGTAAAGGTGCACACTGTTGTGTTTCAGTGCACTTGCAGGTCCAACAAGAGACAAAGTAGGTTTTTCCATTGCATGGATTCAAAAACACCTCTTATTAATACACAACATTTATGATGTAGTAGCCTATTTAACCTAATCATATTGTAGTGGACAACCACTCTGCATGGACATATGTTTATATCAAATAAATGTAGAGTTGAATTTTAAAGACTGACAAAGCCTGGAGGCTTATTGCTCAAGAGCACTTTAAAGGAGTTAGACTTCTTTGTAATTCTTTTAAGGAAGGCATAAAGAAATGAGGGGTGGCTCAACAGTTATACTCTACAAATACATGAGCTGGGGGAAAAACAACTAAACTCTGGATTTCTGTATCTTAATCTAATTCACACTGCCATACAAAACAAAACAGAATTATATTCAGAACTGCTTTTCCCAGCCTGCACTGTGAGTAATTTACTCACTGTACTAAAAATAAATACAGCAGATTGTATAGAAATCTATCACAATTTCAAAGTTTTTCTTTGAAAATGCTTTTTATTTGTTCTTGTTTCTAATGTCTCTGTAAAGCACTTTGAATCACCTTGTTGTTGAATTGTGCTATACAAATAAACTTGCCTTGCCTTTGGACACTAGCCGCTTTTCAGTTGAGTCTTTGTATCTGACTAATTTTACAGGAATGTTTTTTTTGTTTTGTTTTGTTTGCTAAGCTACTTAACATTGACCCATGAATTCCAGCATAAAAAGGCACCAACCAAGGGATAGATCAAAGCTGTTTCTATGCACAATAGACAACAGACATAAAATAGCATTTTTGCTGCAACAAGGTGATTCCCAAAGAGCTATTAGCCTAAAACTAGAGGCATGGAGGACAAAAGAAGAAAGGGCAGGTTCAACAATCACGTACATCTGTTCAAAGAAGATTTGTACAAACTGTTTGTGCCATTTATGTTTGCACCTTTCGATAAATTGCTGCACCTACTTTGCAATTTCCTGGAAAAAAATATATAGGAAACGAGGGGTGGTTCGAGACTTTTGCACATTACTGTGCGAACTGTGGCACTGTTGCCCACATTAGAGGACGTTTTCATTGCATAACAACTATGGAACACTAGATGGCAGTCTTATTTCATTGTCAAAAAGTAACAGGTCTGTGAAACTCTGAGGAAGCTGTGGATTACAAAGAAAGCCCTGCAAAAAACGGATACAAAAAGAACAGATTTATTGAACTTGAAAATAGCATTAAATTCCACTTAAACATTCATTATAAGTAAATACCTACAACATTACACTGAAATTATCACCAATCACATATAAAACCATGGATGCAGAGGATCAGTTCGAACACAAAAAGCAGCTCAAGAGCTAAAAAAAAAAAAAAAAAAAAAAAAAAAAAAGAAAAAGGAAAAAAAAAAAAAAGGTAGTATTAAATAGGAATCCTCAAAATGAACACAGAACAAAGGCCATGCACGAAAGAATTATCAGTTGTTAGTCGTTAGAAATGCTGGTTCATCGAGACGTTGATGCTTTAGCTTCTGCTTTTTCCTGCTGACATTTGCTTACATGTGAAGTTCAACCACATGAGACATGACACAAGTGATTGACGAGCCCTGTTATTTTACCAATTAAAGAGAAAAGGAAACACTAAATACAAAAACCAGTAAGATCCCTCCAGGCGTTGGAAGCAGAAATAAAAGCACCACTTGGCACAGAGCCTGGGGGAGTGTCCCGTCTCTCTGGCACATAAGTATGGGCTTTCTGCTACCGGTGAGAAAGCAAAAACAGTCAGGCTTTTTTTTTTTTCTTTCTAAACTGTCTCGTGGAACAGAGAGTCAGCGGGAGAGGGAGGAGATAATGCTCAACCTGTTTTGTTTTCATTTTTCATGTTAATCTGAGGCTGGGGCGTAAGGTGGGGATTCTCTATGTGAACATAAAGAAACTTGGAGTAGTCAGCAAGACGTCATCAACGTCACTTCAAGTGTAGGCACTCGTGGCTCTTCAACAGTGCACAGCGACCGCAGTCAGGAGGAGAGGGGGAAAAAAAAATTGATTTTTTTTTCCAAAACAATTGCACCAGAATGTTTCTCCCAAACCAGGTTAACCTCTGCCTCCCATCAGTACACCTGGCTTGCATGTACATAAGAAGAGTGTTTCAGCTCAATATCACAAACAGATACGTTAGGAACGATGGTACATAACCCTACTGTTTACATAAAAAATAAAAATAAAATAAAAAACTAACACGGAATGATGTGGGAAGTCTTTGGTGCTCAGTGTGACAGAAAACTGATGAGATCCAAAGAACTGTTGGCATCACTTCCAACCCCAACTGAGGGTGTTAACGACATAAAAGAGGAGTGTAGCACAGGAACCCACAAACAAACAAACAAAACAAACAACAACACACATCTTGAGTGTACTGTATGGCTATACACGAATCCTTCATTATGCGAGGCCACGCCGGCCTACTCGCTCTCTATTTCTTACAAGCTCAGCCTCCCATCGCCTTCCTCAACAACCCCTTTAAAAACTTGTGCCCTGAGATGGACCAGTCAGCCATTCTTTTACACGTGTCAATCAGTCTATCCTGGCTATTATTAACATAACTCAGTACGCTATCATAAGAAGATGCTGAAATTCAAAGATTTCTATGTACCTTATGAATGTTTCCTATTTAGAAAAGAAAAAAAAGTCACAGCATAGATGCAGTTTTCGCCTGAATATTCTGGGAACTATTTTCATCTACACTGCACAGTAATTAGGGTCTCTCCTTGCTTGCATTGAAGGTATCAGTAAATTAGTGCTCTGCAGATGGAAATGACTAATTGAACCCTTTTTTTTTTTTTAAAAATCATAAAAAGTTGAGGAACATGTTTGAGGAAAGGTGAGAAGATGGCTGGGAGACAGAAAGTGCTGATAAATGAGGAGTCCCAGCTCAGCAGCCTGCAGACTCACGCTGTCACCACAGCCTGCTGCGCTTCCCCTAAAGGTGCTCAGGCTGGACAAGAGTCGAAGACGAACTCGTCGTTTTGTTGTTGGAGGATTGTTGGTGAGAATGAGATGTGAGCGGGAATCCATAGAGGTTTATTGGAGATCTGCTTCGGCCGACCAGACCAGACGGTGCAGGTCTGCTTTCTTGTGTTGTGTTTGGTCGTAATCCAAGAAGGCAGACAACACAGTTCCAGTTCCAGTAGTGACAACTTTTTTAAATTTACTGCATGATGAATCCAGGCTGTGGGGCCATCCGGGGTGGGGCCCTCTGAGGCAAACCAGGGGGGTACTGAGAGAGGTAGCTGTTGGGGTAGCCAGAGGGGATGTTGGGGAAGGGTTGCCCTGTTCGGGGAGGAATGGGTGGGTATTGAGATGCTGGGTATGAGAAGGGAGGCTGTGGCTCAGCGGTTGGAGGTGGACTTAGAATTGGTGCTGGCTGGGATGGAGGTGGCGGTGGCTTCCTTCTGGGCTGAGCGAGGGGGGAAGAGGAGCTGCTGCCAGCCTCGCTGAGGAGAGAAGCAGCTCCGGAGATTTCCTGAGAGCGGGAGGGAGGGACTGACAGCTGGGGCAGCCGCTGGCCCTTCATCACCATCTCCTGCAGCTTCTCGATTTTAACCCGTCTCAGGTGGGCCAGCTTCCTCTTGTTCTGGTAGGCATCGATAAACAAATCCAGAGTCATCTCCCCATCCAGTAAAGAATCAGCCATGTTCTGTGGACAGAAGGGATTTGGAGCAGAGTTAGAGAGAGAATAAACAAGGTTAATCCAAAAATAAATAAATAAAAATGCTGAAAAAGTTTCCACTGAAATTACGCTGTCAGTGTGAATGGCTGCAATAAGAAAAGGGGTCTGAAAATTTATTTATTTATTTTTTTTAAAAACGCACAAAATATTTGCACAAATTTTAGGGCTCTGGTGGGTCGAAGTTTCTAAAAGCAGAACGGGACTTCCTTCTTCCCGACTGTCACAAAGTGCATGCTGATAAGGGATCC